TAGGCTGAAGGACAAAAGGACAGCAACTTGTCTGTTCCCTTTCCCGATTCCCCAACGCTGTTCCCTCCCGCAATTCCCCAATAAAATCTTTTTAAAAAACCCAAAAACTAAAGGGTAGAAGGGGGGGAATTCTTCCTCCTCCTCAAGAGGTACAAGCAATTCAAGTGTCCATCAACAGATGAATGAACTAAATGTGACATGTCCATACTGTGGACGAGAAAAAGGGGTTCATAGAAAGTCACCTCACAGGGTGATCTGATCATAAATTCCTAACTGGACAGGTCATGGTGGGTAGCCACGCCCCAGGCCTCTAACTTCTTTATTGGAATGTGTTAAACCAGCCCTGTCCATTGTCCTTGTGCATCTAGGTTAACACACCTTTGAAATACCAGAAGTAATAGCCCTCAAAGGCGTATGAACCCTCAAGCAAGCACATCCTCCTTAACCATCCTGTAATCCAATCCCCACCTTGCTTTCTCCCACCTTCAGATAATCTGCTTTACTTCCCCTCCTTAATCTCACACAAAAGAAACTGTGAAGCTCTTATTCTCAGGGGCATTTGAAATCTTACTCCCTGGTGTATGTTGTCAGCTTGGTTCAAATAAACTCTTTTAACAAAAATCCTCTGTAGGTTTGGATGTTGTGACGCTGACAATGCAAATTCAGCCTTAAAAGTCTTTAAAAAAAAAAAAAAAAAAAAGGGAAGGAATTCCTATGACACGCTACAACATGGGCGAACCCTGAACACATCATGCTGAGTGAAATCAGTCAGTCACAAAAAGATGAACACTATCAAATGCACAGAAACAGAAAACAGAATGGTGGTTGCCAGGGGCTAAGACGAGGGGGCTGGGGAGTTGTATAATGGATATAGAATTTCAGTCTTGCAAGATGAAAAAGTTTTGATCTATTTCACAACAATGTGAATATACTTAACACTATTGAACAATACGCTTAAAAATGGTGAAGATGGTGAACTTTATGTTGTACTTTTCACCAGGTTTTTTGTTTTTGTTTTTTTT